GACCCCACCGTCCAGCGCGACTTTGTCCTTCCCAACAGCTTGCAATCTCACTCCCCACTTCAACCCATCCATCACATCCACCAACAGGCTCCCATGCATCAGCCCGTCTCTTCGAACTCCCTCCAACCCCCTTCTCTTCCCATTTCCTCTACATCCTCATTCCCACCCCACCCACATTTCAGTCCTAAAACCCCAGCCCAACCGACCACTACTTCTTCAATCTCACTGCCCCCACTGCCCCCCACTTTCTCGCAGCCCATCCCTTGTGACCATCACAAGCGCAAGCACCACGAAACGTACACACTTCCCGAGCCGTGGAACGATATGGACACTATCCATGGCATGGATATGGACACTATCCATGGCATGGAGATGGTCACCGGGCCAGTCCCCGCACGAGTCGTTGAATACATGTACAATCAAGCCGACTCCCGCGCGAAAAAGTCCGCTAATGACAAAAAGCTCGTCCTTCGCAAACGGCTCAAGGAAAGCAACCACAGCGAGACAGGATCCCGCTCCGCCATCAGCTCTAGGAGGGAAGCCAAAGTCAGTCGCATGTATCGGCAAGAGTACTTGCATTCCACACAAGACGAGCTCAGGCAAAGTGCCAAGGACAAGGCCTTGTTGTTGGCATACTTGAAATGTCTTCGGAAATTCATCGACGACAACAAACTCACTCTCGATGAACGTCGCACCGACAACACGCTCGACGCAGTCATCGACTAGTCTGTTTCTTCCCTCTTCTCTGTACCCTCCCACGCTTCTTTGCGTTGCTCTGGGGCATCACTGCTCTGAGGCCCACGCCCAAGAGATGTACACCGTCCTCTTGTATACTCTACATATTCCATCTTGTTTGTAGCACAGACACTTCTTTTTGTCACGAGCACGTCTTAAGTAAACGAATCACATCATCTTCAATGACAAGGAGTCATGCTTCACTTCCATCTCAACGACGCTGGGAGTGGAGACGGCAATCCCAGATCACTCTTTAACTCGGCTTTTATATATTACATAGCTGCTAGTTCCATCCCATGTACCTTTCTCAACCCTTATGATTGGCACAGCGTCCTAACATGCACTTCAGGTTACAGTTGTACAAAGTACACGCCCTGAAGCGAAAAGAATACAGCCGCAGACATAAAGGAGATTGCCATCAAGGTACGCTATGTTGGTAAGTATGAGAGCACCGAGGAGCTGCGAAAATACTCTCTCAGCTGAGGGCATGACCACTCTTCATGTACGATGAATCAACAAAAAAAAGGATCGGAGCATTACGTGGTGGACCATTGCACGAGTATGCCCGTGTCCTTTGTACACTTGCGCTGCAGACTAAACGGAACAAGCCTTCAAAGCAAACGCATCACGTTGTAGATGTGGGGGCCGTACAAGAGAAGTTGCTTTGTTGCCGGGCATGAGTGATGATTCCTCATCTAGTAACTCATCATGTGCTTGCATTGAAGGCCTTTGGCGCTTCCGGGTTGCAGAATGTGTGCCGTCTCCGTCGGCCATCACATGAAATTTGAATTGAGGCGGTCTGTCACGACTCAGGAGCTGTCGAGAATTGTGACTGCAGGGCTTGTACCCAAGGGTACTGTACAAAACTTGTCCGGGATGAAGAGGACGGCGTTCCCCCCCCCCCCCCCCCCCCCCCCCCC